TCAGCTAGTGAAATCATTTATTTACGATATATAATTATATATTAAAGTGAGAGCGTCGAACGCACTCTCATAATCTCTGATTACTACTAGTATTTAATTTATTCTATACATTTGCTGTTACAAGAATAATCAACTGCAGTTAAGTGGAAACACTATTCCCAATGAAAGAACAAAGCTATACCTGTATATTGTAAACTGTCTGTCAAATTCACATATCCACGTTCAGTTACTAGTACGGGCGATTTTCATGACGCTGAAATCACCTAGTCTAACTTCCTAATGCTCGGCTTCCCCTGGGGTATTTGTCATCTCTGTTCACAAACTAATATTCTCTGAAAATCCACGAAAGATGAAAGACACCTCTAGATTTTTAAGATAACAATTCTATTCACCAAATTACTGCATTTTATTAGTATCTATGGCACAAGCTAGCAAATGCTAAACTAGATTAGTTAACTTAAGCATAGCTATGCAACCCTTCATCACAAAAAAATTAAACGTTCTTAATTTAAAATTTACTCTACGAAGAGAGTATATAATACAAATAAACTACTATTTCTAAAAATTAAACCTTGATGGGATAACCAAAGTCTTTATGAAAGGCTACTATCTATTTTTCGTTACCCTCTTGAAAGAAAGATGTTCAAATGAAAATGGTGGTAAGGTTGTTAAACGTTTTACCCAATTCCAGCTTTTTCACAAAACTACAAAATTACAAACTAAAACCTCGATTCTCGTTTTATGTATATTATTGCAATGGCACATTGCAGCTCACAGCAATTTGGCAGATCATGTTAACCTTTACCATTAATTCAGAAACGGTCAATCTTCAAAATGCAAACACTTTGAAAAAAAAGGCAAAGTGTCATACACAAGGAAAGTATATATGTCCATTTGACCTCTATCTTAGTCTGTATTCAAGCTGTCTGTCTTCACTGGCATATAACACAAGACTGCATCTTTATTAATTTGTGCTAAATTTTTCCAGTCATTCAAACAGATCTGGTACACCTCTCCAGGTGGAATTCTAATGCCAACATCAACAGGAAATTTATTGACCATAAAATACACCCTCCTTTCTATTTCCACTGCACCAAGGTTGTTTGGGGGAATATGTTTCTGTTCAACAACAGACCAAATGTTGTTTTCCTCGTCATACACTTCAACAGAAGCTGAAGGATACAGGGAAGATCCAGAACCCCCAGCGACATAAAGCCTGTTATTAACCACAAAAAGGCAGGAGTCATGGTGAGGACGGCAGGTTGAGGACTGTTGCTTCCATTTGTTCGTTTTTGGGTTGAAGCAGTGCAATACAGCTGCCTTATCCAGCCAGACCTGAGAAGTATTAGAACTTGCAAATGCCAATGAGGTAGACCCTACTTCAGGCAATGAAGCCTCGATAGCAACTGCAGATGTGGCACATGCCACCTCAAGGTCTGAACCTGTGGTGCAAACTGCAGGTGGGGTAGGCGCCGTCCAAAACAATGAAGCACTGCTAGAAACTGTAGGTTGGGCAGACTCCACCGAAACCAATGAACCACCGGTAGGAAATGTAGATGGGGAAGCTCTAGATGTGGCCCTACACAATGAAGCACTGGTAGATTGGGAAAACATGTTCCCAAATGCAGTTGTAGATGTGGCAGACCCCACCTCAAGGACTGAACCAACGCTACAAACTGCAGATGAGTTAGTGGACCCAAGCCCGCCAGTAACTGCAGATGCGGGACGTTTGACCCTACGCAATGAACCAGGGGTAGATGGGGCAAATGGGGCAGCTGGGAGCCCACCAAATCCAACAGCAGTTTTAAGACCGTGAAGCACATATATATGTGACTTCCAAACTGTTGCTGATGCATTAGTCAACTGGGTATTTGGATCATCAAACTGTTTCTTAACGAAACCTAAACTAGCCCCACCTTGCCAATTATTCTTAGCTGGGCTATACTTAAAAGGTACACAGGTTGATGCACCACTAATTGCATATAAAAAGTCATCAAGAAAACACAGAGAGTCAATCTGCCTGTTACAGAAGTCACTATGGCTTAGAATTGGGGAGAGTGTTTCCCACGAGTTGCTAACTGTGTCATATCGATAGTTGACAAAATCATTTGCCTTCTTTCCAGCTACATACAAGTAATTGCCAACGTACTCTGCGCAAGAACAATTTGTTGCCTCAGTTAATTGTGCCATGAATGGCAAAGGTTTCCAACTTTTGGCTTCATCATCAAAGTACTGCATCTGAGCCTGAGGGAGAATGGCAACAAGAACCTAAAATGAAGCAAGTTCAGCGCGTTTTAGTACGTTAACAAAACAGGACAATATAAATAGTGGTACTAGCTTATCAATTCTAATTTATGTCACATTTGGGATGTTGAACGGGCAAGCATGTTTACATTCGGTTTCATGCTGATACTTGTTTGATTTTGCGACTTCGCGAACGAAAATTCCTCGGCCAAATTATTGCCTGTATCTTAGTACCCAGAAGATAACATTTTCTTATCTTGATCGAAGACCCTGGTTTGTCTTTCCCTAAAGCAAACTCAGAACTCTGCCTGACTCGTTGCATCTCTGCTGCATTCAACGAGGGAGTTGTCCCTTCCCCCGTCCCCCGCCACATTAACACCCCCTTTGGGATAAGAGATATTTAACGTCTCACTAGATGAGTTGTTCCTTTTCTTACCAGCTTCATCGATCGTGGTTTTACTTTCTCTACGGCAAAATTGTGCGAAGGACTGTTGTTATAGACTAACACTTGAAGCAACTGCATGGCAATCTCTGAATCTCGTTGCATTTCCTCTGTATCCAGTTCTTCAATCAAAACCTTGGTATCCACCAGGCCCAGACGAACAGCTCCGATAACTTTGGCTGCAACTGCCATCCTCTCTTCCTTCTTGTGTTTAATCCACTGCATCACTGATTTGAAGACAAACGTCTCCGAAGATGCATTGAGGTCATCTCGACTGAGGAGGCTGAATAATTGGTCTGCGCCAATATGCGTCTGGAATTCTTCGCTTTCACAAACATCCTTGAATTTCGATGCTATTTCGTGCTCCGCGGCCTCTTGCAGATCTTTCAGACCGTGTCTATCGGCAATTGTCCAAACGCGGCAGTATGTTTCGACATCGAACCGAAGCTGAATACACTGGATCAGCAAGAAATCACAGCACAGCTTAATAACGCTTTTCACTTGAAGATGATCAGCGGCGGCGAGAACTTCAAACACGTTTTCCTCGTTGACACGAAGATCTCCAGTGTAGATGGAGTCCATTACAATCTTCAAAGCATGAGGTGAAATGCTTTCATCTTTCAGTTCGATCACTTCCTGGTTCGACTCCTTCATTCCAGCGGTAAACATGGCGTGGAAATAATCACTATTCTCAGCGGTCTCACCCCTCACATATAAAAGGGAGAGTAAACAAAGTAATGATCCCATTCTCTCGAAGCTGTCCAGCAAGCCATTTAGCATGCCTGATCAGCAAGTTCCGGTTAATGCCGTTGCCGAAGCACAAGCTATGTTACCAATTAACCAACCCCCGCCAGCTGCAGCTGTTCAACCAGACGATGTTTCTCATCCTGTACCGGCGGCCGTTCAAGTTGAGGGTCAAGTTCGAATAGAAGCTAACGAGCTTTCATTGGAGGTTTGTAAACTTATCTTTGTACTCCTAGTTCGCCACGTCTTCCATTCCAGCTATGATTTTCATGTATTTGGTTTGCTTTAGCTTTGCGGACGTTTTTCACGTTTTGTATTCTTGTTGTGTGGGTAATTTCGAATTTTGTTCAAATTTGCTATGCTTTTAGATTTGCCCTTTTATTTTTTCGGCTTTCCATAATTTCACATGTTGTTCGAACAGCTTCAGTTTACCATTGCCCTCGTTTTTATTTTACCTTGGCGGGCTATTTCATTCGCCCTGCTTTTAATGTTTGCTCTTGTTTTATTAGGTTTTGCGGGCTATCATTTATTTCATTTGTTATTCGCCCTGCTTTTAACTTTTGCCCTCGTTTTATTGGACTTAACAGGCTATTTCTGATTTGATATGTTATTCGCCCTGCTTTTAACGTTTGCTTTCCTTGGGCTTTGCACCCTATTTCTAATTTGATATGTTGTTCGCCCTGCTCTTAACGTTTGACTTCGTTTTATATGGGCTTTGCGGGCTATTTTTGTTATTTGATATGTTATTCGCCCCGCTTTTAACGTTTGCCCTCGTTTCCTTGGGCTTTGCGCCCTATTTCTAATTTGATATGTTGTGCGCCCTGCTCTTAACGTTTGCCTTCGTTTTATATGGGCTTTGCGGGCTATTTTTGTTATTTGATATGTTATTCGCTCCGCTTTTAACGTTTGCCCTCGTTTCCTTGGGCTTTGCGCCCTATTTCTAATTTGATATGTTGTGCGCCCTGCTCTTAACGTTTGCCTTCGTTTTATAGGGGCTTTGCGGGCTATTTCTTACTTGATATATTAATTCGCCCTGCTTTTGACGTTTGCCTTTGTTTTTACTGGGCTTTACAGGTTATCTTTGATTTTAGTTATTATTAGCCCTGCTTTTTTAACGTATGTCCTCGCTCTACTGGATTTTGCAGGCTATTTCTGATTTGATATGTTATTCGCCCTGCTTTTAACGTTTGCCCTCATTTTACACGGGCTTTGCGGGCTATTTCTAATTTGATATATCCTGGATATGTTGTTCGCCCTGCTTTTAACGTCTGCCTTCGCTTTATATGGGCTTTGCGGCCTATTTCTTATTTGATTTCTTGTTCGCCCTGCTCTTAACGTTTGCCTTCGTTTTATATGGGCTTTGCGGGCTATTTCTTATTTGATATGTCATTCGCCCTGCTTTTAACGTTGGCCCGCGTTTTATGTAGTCTGCGGGCTATTTCTTATTTAATATGTTATTCGCCTTGCTTTAAACGTTTTCCCTCATTTTATATAGACTTTTTTATATAGATTTGCTGTTCGAACTGCTTTTAACGTTTTGCCCTCTTTTGCGAGATATTTTCATTTTGATATTTTACTTACCCTCCTTTTTACGTTTGCCCTCGTTCTATTTGAGCTTGTGGATTATTTTCTGTTTTGCTTTTTTTTTCTTTTTTTTTATGATTTGATATATTTGGCTTTTGTCCTTTGTATTGTATGGACTTTCTTTTATTTTTTCTGTTCTGCAGTTATATTACGCTTGCAACTCCTATTGTACATACGCCCTTTATTTTGTTCATAAGTCGTTTTCTTAGGTTTGCAAATAAAATTCAGTTTTTCGTCCGCTGATTTACAGCTGCACCATTTGTTTTGTTTGCTTTTCAAGTTGTTTGCTCTGTTTCATTCAATTAGTTTTTGCGCTATTTGTTTGTTTTTGCTTGTTTCTAGATATATGCATATACCGCGTGGTTCATACCTTCGTGTTTTTAGCGACTTCTGTGTTCAAAAGTTGATGTTTTGTTCTGTTTGCTCATTGTCTTAGCTTTGACTTTTAACAAATTTTTGATTGTTTTGGTGCCCTGGCTTTTCATTTGTTTCTCTTTTCTTTTTGCTATTTGTATATCATATGCATATTTTTGTTTCGGTTTTCTTTCTTCCTGCGGCTATCTCTTTCTTAGCATCGTTTTATTTGTTGTTTTATCTTTTATTAGGCCTTACGGCATCGTATTAAAATTTTGTAGAGTGCCCAAGGCACCACGGTCCAGTCCTTAATTCAGAAAATCTCATACTACGGTGGCCGAAGGGTAGAATATTTCAACAAGTATGAGGCTCTCCGCTACGCTGAAGAGTTGGCTTCTGTTGCTAAATCCTCTGGTGATCCTAAGGCTGCCAACTATGATGTTATTAGGGACTTTAAGATATGGTACGGCTGGGCTGTGGTACGGCGGCAGATAGTTAAGATCACTTCCGGTGACGTCATGACGCGCGTACCAGTACGGCTTTCCCGCCGTAGCCTTGCTTTCTACTACGGGAAAGTGCCTGGTTTCACGTACTCTTCACTACGTGAGTATAAGCCTGCTGTTCACTTCTCATTTTAGCGCTATTTTTACTGTTTGAACAGCCTAGTTTGAAGATAAAGTCCTCAACCATAAAAATTAGTTCTAAGATCATTGTTTCTTTGTCATTTGTACAGAAAATTTGAACGATTTTAACACCTAACGCGAGATAATCAATTCAGTCATATTAGTATCGGGCCGAACAGCCGTTCATAAGAAAGCTTCGTATGTTCTAATCTGAGCTATAATTGTTTATTATTGTTCAAAATGTATTTTATGATAATCGAAGGTTTTGTATTTTTGAGCTTATCACGTAATCGTTTTACGAACAACCTGTCCGTGTTGAAATCGAGCCTCTAATTTTTTATATCAGAGTTTATATTTTGTTTTGTGGTTGGAATTACAGGCGGGTCTATCAAGTTCTAAAAGGCAAATCTGAGTTCTGGGAGATGTAAGACGGATACAGGAGAAGGAAATCATTGTCATTAATCAAGCCTATTTCGTATGAAAGTGGAATGACCTCTGGGTTCCCCTTGAAAGTAGTCATTTTTGTAAAGACACGTAGAGACTACACATACCGTTGCCGTACAGCAAAATATTAATCATTTGACTTTGGAGGGTAAAACACCCGTCCGTCGTCAACCTAGTCCCTCACGGCCAAAGTAGCCGTAGTAGCACCTCGCCGTAGCGTATCTTAAAGTCCCTATTGCTTCCACCCTGAGAGAGCAGCTTCACGTACCAGCGGAGCAATTCAAGGCGTATTTCCTAGCCTTATTAGCCGACGAGGATTTCTCTTGTGTAATCGAAACAGTTTCCAAGGTTGATAARTCCTTTCGSCGTTCAATGCMATATCGTGCTCCGTCACGCAGAGGAAGATTCCCGTATCACCAGCCGTATTTTCAACCGTATCAGAGGCCGCCTCCCCGCGTCGTTTGCTACAGATGTGGTGACCCAGGGCATAAATCTCCACAATGTTGGAAGCATGCTCCTTTTCGTATGCCTTCCTCTCCTGCTTCATATCAGCCACCACGTCCAGCCCGACCTTCTTGGTAAGCTTGTTACTTTGGCTCGTGTAATAAAGTGTTTCCATTAAATTTACTCTTCTTCAATTATCCTTATCTGTTTTTGCCTCATTCTACTTTATGCAGCCTTCTTTACCAACCGCTTTGTTATATATATTCTCAGTTTTCACTGTTTTTCTTTTTCTTCCCTCGGGTGGCATTCTCAAAGGGAAACTAACGTTCCCTCTCGGACTACCGAGGCTGTGTTTGCAATTTCCTGGGCTTTATTCTCTGTATATATTTTATTTTTATTTTTATTTTTTTATTTTTTCTGTTTTTCATTTTTCAAAAATATCATTTCATGACTGGGAGAAGACCCCTAATTTTGATCCTACCATTACCTCCCCCAACTGTCCACTTTGGGTGAATTGCGAGGGGTCCCCCTTAACTGATAATTACGCCTGAAATTGTCTCCTCGGTTATCAAGGGAGAAATGTTTGCCGACGCCACTCTTTTCGCTTTCCGCGACCCGAGCTGGTTTAGGGCAGGTGAACTCCACCGTCATACGGATCAGTGGGACAAGTTGTTTCCGTACTCTACTAACAATTTCTCAGAGGATTAAGACTGGATTCGCTATCTCGTCAGCGTTGAAAAGTTTTCCACTCATTTCAAAGGAAGCTATAAAGGGTTTAATTATGATTGCGATGGGCCACCGGCTCGAATTTTTACTAATCATTTGTCTTGTAAGCCGTTTGCCCAATTTATTTCTGACACGCTTATTGAGAGACTAGCTTCCGGGGCGATCTCTTTATGGGGTAGGGTAGGAGAGTCCCCTCCCCCGCATCTTGTCATGCCCCTTACGTTACAACCTTCCAAACCTCGCCTTTGCAATGATAATAGGTTTCTTAATCTTTGGATTCAAGATCGGCTTTTTTCGTTGGATAGTGTTCAACACTTGCTAAAGTATGTCCTTAGCAATTTCTTTCAAACCGTATGCGATGACAAGTCTGGATACGACCATATCCAACTCTCTTTGGACAGTCGGACGTTTTCTGGCTTTGAGTGGGGTGGTTGGTTTTTTGTAAGTTGTTGCATCCCGTTTGGTTGGAAACCGTCCGCCTATATTTACCACTCCACCTGCCTTGTTGCCTCGCACTATCTACGTTCCCTTGGCATCTCCTCATCTTAATACATTGACGACCGTCATAGCAGTCAGCTCACTTTCTCGAACGACCGCCTTCCAGTTGCTTATCAAGATTTGCCCTCAAAGGATAGCATTAATTTAGCTTTGGCCAATGCGGCTATTTTTGTCACATGTTTTACTCTTTCCTCCCTTGGTTATTTCATTGGTTTGGAGAAATCCACCCTGGCACCCTGCAAGCAAGTTCCCTACCTGGGTTTCATTTCCGACTCTGAAAAACAGGCTTTCATTTTATTACCTCGCAAAAAGGAAAAATTTCTCATCCTTCTCAAACAAGCCCTTAAGTCTGAAACCCTAGACCTCGTTACTCTCCAAAGGCTGGGTGGAAAATGTATTTCGATGGCTCTGGCTGTTCTCGGAGCGAGACTTTACACAAATGAAATCAATATGGCTCTCACTTGTGCGGTGCGTTCCTCGCGCCCGGTCAAGATGTCCGGGGCTTTACGACAAGAATTCGAGCATTGGCTCTTTTTAGAGTCATGGAATGGCTTTCTTCCCTGGCGTTCAGAAAAGCACTCCCACGTCCGGCTGTTTTCGGACTCTTCCTCTTTTGCTTGGGAAGGTGTTTTAAGTCCTGATGCCATTAATATCAATATTTGCGATTACTGGGAACCCCATATTATTGGAGCTGACATTGCCAATAAGGAAACTCTCGCCCTTAACAATGTCTTACTTTCCTTTGGGAATAATATTAGAAACTCTTGGGTGGACGCGTTTGTTGACAGCCAGGTTTGCTTCGTTCTTGGAACAGGCGCGGCTCCTGCTCCCATTCCTTAGTTACCGCTCTTAAGTGTCTGTTTGAAACTACCATGAGCCTTAACATTGATCTGCACGTTCACTTTGTTCCTGGTCCTGATAACCCTGCAGATGCTCCCTCTCATTATCTCAATCTTCAGGACTCAACGTAAACCCTAGCTATGTGGAGTTTGGTTCAAAGTTCGTATGGTGGCTCCCGGGGACACTCCATTGATCTCATGGCGTGATCTTCCAACGTACAAACTGACATGGCTGGCTATCCTCTATCCTTTTTCTCTGAGAGTCCGATGGCCTATGCGTTGGGAGTGAATGTGTTTGCACGATCCCCCGATCTCTGCAGTCCAGAGGTTTTCGCGAATCCTTACGTTTTTCCACCGATTTGTCCTATTCCTCAAGTATTTAAATATCTTCACTGTTTGAAATTGTCCTACACTCTTGTAATTCCAGATGTCGTTCCACGGCGTTTTTGGTGGCCTTTGCTGCTGTCTGCATGCTCTTCCAGTTGGATGTTGGCCGCCAAAGGGACAACTGGTGTTCTTCTTACTCCCTCAAAGGATGGTTTTTCAGATAGCAGGCCAATTCCTTGGGACCTTTGGGTTTTCCGTAATTCCAATAAATAGGTTTATAGTCACTTCATCTAGTTTGAGGATTTATTGAACAGAATGAATTATCCATTTTCGGTATTTTGAATGTTCCGTAGTTCTGTATTTTTCAATAAATTTGGAGAATTTTGTTCCCGCTATTTGTATTGATTCTGTGTTACTTTTCTTCGTGCCTCCTGTTTCCAATAGCATCAACTATCCTCAGTTTTTACGTCTCGCTATTAAATCAGTTAGTCATTTACTTTCTCTTCCTTCCTTTTAGGACCTTCAACAGGCTCAGCGGATTTTTACCCCAGCTGTAGCCTGCCCATCATGTGCTTATCTTACTCCAACGACCACTATTTTCGATTTTGCCAAATGTATGGCTACCAAAGAAAGTTCATTCTTCAGAACCCGGCCTCGAGAATAGAGCTGGATCTCGCAGCTATTGATGCTCGTTTGCAACAGTTTAAACAGACGACTCAAAAGTCTTCGTACTCAAAACAAAAGTCTTCCTTGCGCGTGGAATTCGAAACCTTCTTAGCCTCGCTACCTAATGCTAGGTCAATTTTCTTTCCAGCACTCCTGAAGATGTTTCGCGGTTTCTAGTGGGGAGAGACCGTCACCGTAAAACAGTCATTCATATTCCCGGGTGTCCGAACTCCTCAAACGAGGATGCCGCAAATTGCGCGTGCCCCAAACGACTTGCATTTTTAAAAAACTGTTGATTCCTGTATAGGAAAGCTTCGCGCCGTCTTCAACGAAGCAGGTCGCTCTGGGGACTGGAATGGCCTGCTAGGTTTTGGAAATCCAGCGGCATCGACTGCGGTACAAAGTTACCTAAAGGCTATATCTGAGGAGCAGTTACGAGCTCACATCGTTCCTAAGCAGGTGGTCCCGTTTTTTCTGTCAACGTTTTTGCTTCTGGCACGATTATGGGATAGTAAGATGGCGGATCCTTCAGTTAGTCCTTCCGGTCTTTTTATTTTAGCTCGAGACCAAGCATTTTTTAAAACTCTCTTCTTTAGCGCGAATAGAGGGTCCGATCTCGGTTGTGTTCAAACGGCAGAAATTCTGCGTTTTCCTCAGGGCGATGGTTTCCTGCTTAACCATGTTTGGGGGAAGACCTTGAGAGACGGTTCTTCTAACGTCTTTGGAATTCGTCGTCATTCGAATCCCCAGCTTTCCCCGGTTAAAGCGATTGTTATCGGTTATCTCTTTCGCCCTACTTATCATCGGGGCCATATCCTCAACAAGTCTATTTGAAGGACGCCAAAATTTACGAAGGCGAGACTTTGCACAATTTCCGCTCAGGATCCGCTAAAACTCTCGCTTTTTCTGGGTCTCAATTAGCTGATGTGATGTGATGTGATGACGTGGGTTGGAACAATAAAGCTACTGCCTTATATTACATGAAATTGGCAGACGTTCTCCGTGGAGGCTCTCCTTCAGATTTATTATCTTCGACCGAATCAGCCACTTCCATTTCCACCACACTGTATGAGGATCTTAACCGTTTAAAAACTTTTGTCTCTGCGTTACCTGAGTCTTAATTTCTGTTAAATTGGTTTTTAGTATGGGGTTGGTCTCTTTTTGAGCTTGGGCATGTTTTTCTTCCATAGTGTTTTAGGGTTATCTTCAACTAGAAACTCTTGGTGCCCACTCTCAACAATAGGTGTGAGGGAGACTTATGAGAATATATAACTACTTAAGGTGGTCCGATAGATGTCTTTAGCGTTGATATCAAGTTTATAGAAAACGAGTGGAACTTTGAGAAATGGAGAAATGGTACTTTTAAGTTCTACCACTGAAGCCTTGAACTTGAGATTTCAATCGCGTGATAGTTGACGAGGGCACAGCTCGAGTCAGCCATCACTCATAGGAATCAAGAGTGAATAATCTAATTGTTTCAGTGCAAACCTACCACTCGTTCAAAACTTTATCTAACTCCTCTTGACAGCCGGATTTCGAAAACGCAAAGAAGCGGCCGCTAGGAAGAAGTAGTTACANTTGTTTCAGTGCAAACCTACCACTCGTTCAAAACTTTATCTAACTCCTCTTGACAGCCGGATTTCGAAAACGCAAAGAAGCGGCCGCTAGGAAGAAGTAGTTACAGAGGAGGCTCGACTGATGGTTTTGTTTTCGCTGATGCTACCGCCATGGTAACTTAAGCTCACTTACACTAGTTATCCTAAAGTAAATTCCTCGTCGTTTTAAGGGTTGTGAATAAGCTTCTGAATAAAAATGAGAAGCATCACTTTACAGGGATAGTGTAAGGTGCAGATTGTAAACAGGGCTTAGTTTGGTGAACTTAAATTTGAAGAGCAAATTAGCAGACTTCATCGTAATGTGGGGAAGGCAAATTGAAACGATATATACATTGGCCTGTCAAAGGTTCAAAAAGAAATTTATTAAACTTTGTCTAGCTTTAATCTATAGTTTCACAAGGCGTTTAAAGAAGACAAAGTCCTTCAGTTTAGAACAAATGTAATTTTTTCTAGATTTACTGGTATAAACTGCTAACAAGATAAAAAATTAACATTAGAATTTGAGAAAAGTTCTGTCATTCAGTTCTTGAAAACTGAAGATATTACATGCACATGTATAGTGCTAAAGCTACGTAGCTTATTACTGATAACAGCCTCCAATGTCTCTAGAATGTCTCAACCTTTATAAAAATATTATGTAACGAATGTATCTTATTTTCTGTATTTCACACGGACCTCCTCACACGGTCAGTAGCGGAATCTTTGAAAATCTGTCATTGCGAGTTTAAAGCTAAATTAGTTTTCGCTTGAGTGTCGAAAAGTAATAGGTTTCACCACGCTACTTGCACTATGGGCTTAAAAAAACTTGGGCCAATTTCTCATCAAATCAGAATCGAAGTAAAACCAAATTAATAGTGACTCGCTCAGACGCGTTTTCCCGTGCTTCGCGTCAGCTACATGTTTTTACTTCGAGTTTTAATTGGTTGATTCGATTCTCTGTGTCTCTTGTGACTGAACAGGGTGATTCCTTTGGTTTTGGTTTCATGACACCCAATTGAAAACCGCTCTAAATTTGTACAAATTTAATTCAGGCTTTCAATATTAACTACTAAAGGTTTAAATAAAAAACAAACAGTGCTAAGCAAGGAAGGAGATTCATAAGCGGCTTGGCTGAAAGATCGAGACAGGAGAGGGAACTAGTCTTCCTTTCTTTTCAGCTCCTACCCGACCTTTACGTTTTTGCTCGCTTCATTCCCTCCCTGCTTTGCTCGCAATTTTTTTCCTTCATTAGCAATTCATGCATTGAACCATGCGCAACTTACTTACAAGAAAATTCTCGTATATTTTGATGTGTAAATGTGATATTTAAAGTGAGTAAAAATATCATTCTCACTCTTATTCCAAATTCTCCCGCTTTACTCGCAGATAACAAAGAACAGCAGTATTGGCAATTTTTGCTAAATTTTCCCACTCACCCAAATAAACAGGATACAGCTCTCCTGGTGGGATTCTCATGCCACTGTCAACTGGAAATTTGTTTATTATAAAGTAAACCTTCCCTTCTATTTCCACTGCATTACGGTTGTTTGGGGGAATGTGTTTTTGTTCTATAACTGACCAAGCGTTTTTTACCTCATCATAAACTTCTACAGGTCCAGGGTTCCCCTGTAGGCTTCCATTTGACGTAATAGAGTCATAACCCCCAGCTACATAAAGTCTACTGTTTACAACAAGAAGACTGGATCCAAAGTGATGCTGACATGTTGTTGCTTTTACTTTCCATTCGTTTTTTTCTGGATCAAAGCAGTGTAGCACTGCTTTCTGTATTGACCACGATTGCATTGAAAAGAATAATCGTCCATAAAGGACATACAGCTTTGAGTGAAGTACTACTACTCCGCTACAATAAAACCTGTCATTACATGGAATACTTACATAAGCAAAAGTTTGCCAGCGACACTTAGAAAAGCTATACCTTTGAGGGACCTGATTATAGTCAGAACTAATTGCATACATGTAATCGTCTACAATACATAAATTGTTTATTTTACCGCATGGGTTTGACAGCTTCTCCCACACATTACCTTCTGTATCATAACGATATAAAAGGTAACACCTTGCAATTCCAGCAACATACAAGTCATTACCAGCAGACGCTGCACAGTAACAGTTCGCTGCATCAATTGCCGGTGTTGTGGATGCCAAAGGTTTCCACTTTTTCGCTTCAACATCAAAATACACCATTTGAGCCTGCGGTAGAACTGCAAGAAGAACCTGAAATGACAGTAAAGGAAAACGAAATTTCAATAATACAACGAAATGCCAATGACTTGGCCGAAAACACCCGAGTCAAGGCAAAAAATGCTGGAACAAAAATGTTGCGTGATCAGCCAAATATACAAGAAAACCAAGAAACACTCGGAAAGCGAGCAACAAAGAAGAAAATAAAAAATCTTGCATGACCTGAAGCTGAAAAAAATTTACTCGCTAAAAAATATTAGCCGACACCCCCTCGTCCTCCTTCCCCCAAATTAAAATGGTCCTTCCCTAACAAATTCCAAGGACTGGGATTGCGTGAACAAATTAAGTCACGTAAAATATGAAATTATGTCAAATTCAAATGTCAGGCAAACGTACTTAATACGAGCATTCGACTAACTTTTTAAAATCAACTTTGCAAAATCTATAAGTTTTATAGATTAAGATAAATCAATAATTTTTGGTGTCATAGGCTTCGTTGGCATTGCGAAGCGAAGTCCAAAAAACACTCTTACCGGGCTAGTTTCTCGTGTTTTTGTTTTCTCCACAGCAAACTTGGGATTACGAGAAGGCCTGCAGCTATGGATTAATGCCTCGTGGAAGTGCATGTGAATCTCTGGATCCCGTTGCATTTCCTCTGTGTCCAGTTCATCAATCACAACCCCAATATCCACCAGCCCCAGACGAACAGCTCCGATAACTTTGGCTGCAACTGCCATCCTCTCTTCCTCCTTGTGTTTAATCCACTGCATCACTGANATGTCCGGGGCTTTACGACAAGAATTCGAGCATTGGCTCTTTTTAGAGTCATGGAATGGCTTTCTTCCCTGGCGTTCAGAAAAGCACTCCCACGTCCGGCTGTTTTCGGACTCTTCCTCTTTTGCTTGGGAAGGTGTTTTAAGTCCTGATGCCATTAATATCAATATTTGCGATTACTGGGAACCCCATATTATTGGAGCTGACATTGCCAATAAGGAAACTCTCGCCCTTAACAATGTCTTACTTTCCTTTGGGAATAATATTAGAAACTCTTGGGTGGACGCGTTTGTTGACAGCCAGGTTTGCTTCGTTCTTGGAACAGGCGCGGCTCCTGCTCCCATTCCTTAGTTACCGCTCTTAAGTGTCTGTTTGAAACTACCATGAGCCTTAACATTGATCTGCACGTTCACTTTGTTCCTGGTCCTGATAACCCTGCAGATGCTCCCTCTCATTATCTCAATCTTCAGGACTCAACGTAAACCCTAGCTATGTGGAGTTTGGTTCAAAGTTCGTATGGTGGCTCCCGGGGACACTCCATTGATCTCATGGCGTGATCTTCCAACGTACAAACTGACATGGCTGGCTATCCTCTATCCTTTTTCTCTGAGAGTCCGATGGCCTATGCGTTGGGAGTGAATGTGTTTGCACGATCCCCCGATCTCTGCAGTCCAGAGGTTTTCGCGAATCCTTACGTTTTTCCACCGATTTGTCCTATTCCTCAAGTATTTAAATATCTTCACTGTTTGAAATTGTCCTACACTCTTGTAATTCCAGATGTCGTTCCACGGCGTTTTTGGTGGCCTTTGCTGCTGTCTGCATGCTCTTCCAGTTGGATGTTGGCCGCCAAAGGGACAACTGGTGTTCTTCTTACTCCCTCAAAGGATGGTTTTTCAGATAGCAGGCCAATTCCTTGGGACCTTTGGGTTTTCCGTATTTCCAATAAATAGGTTTATAGTCACTTCATCTAGTTTGAGGATTTATTGAACAGAATGAATTATCCATTTTCGGTATTTTGAATGTTCCGTAGTTCTGTATTTTTCAATAAATTTGGAGAATTTTGTTCCCGCTATTTGTATTGATTCTGTGTTACTTTTCTTCGTGCCTCCTGTTTCCAATAGCATCAACTATCCTCAGTTTTTACGTCTCGCTATTAAATCAGTTAGTCATTTACTTTCTCTTCCTTCCTTTTAGGACCTTCAACAGGCTCAGCGGATTTTTACCCCAGCTGTAGCCTGCCCATCATGTGCTTATCTTACTCCAACGACCACTATTTTCGATTTTGCCAAATGTATGGCTACCAAAGAAAGTTCATTCTTCAGAACCCGGCCTCGAGAATAGAGCTGGATCTCGCAGCTATTGATGCTCGTTTGCAACAGTTTAAACAGACGACTCAAAAGTCTTCGTACTCAAAACAAAAGTCTTCCTTGCGCGTGGAATTCGAAACCTTCTTAGCCTCGCTACCTAATGCTAGGTCAATTTTCTTTCCAGCACTCCTGAAGATGTTTCGCGGTTTCTAGTGGGGAGAGACCGTCACCGTAAAACAGTCATTCATATTCCCGGGTGTCCGAACTCCTCAAACGAGGATGCCGCAAATTGCGCGTGCCCCAAACGACTTGCATTTTTAAAAAACTGTTGATTCCTGTATAGGAAAGCTTCGCGCCGTCTTCAACGAAGCAGGTCGCTCTGGGGACTGGAATGGCCTGCTAGGTTTTGGAAATCCAGCGGCATCGACTGCGGTACAAAGTTACCTAAAGGCTATATCTGAGGAGCAGTTACGAGCTCACATCGTTCCTAAGCAGGTGGTCCCGTTTTTTCTGTCAACGTTTTTGCTTCTGGCACGATTATGGGATAGTAAGATGGCGGATCCTTCAGTTAGTCCTTCCGGTCTTTTTATTTTAGCTCGAGACCAAGCATTTTTTAAAACTCTCTTCTTTAGCGCGAATAGAGGGTCCGATCTCGGTTGTGTTCAAACGGCAGAAATTCTGCGTTTTCCTCAGGGCGATGGTTTCCTGCTTAACCATGTTTGGGGGAAGACCTTGAGAGACGGTTCTTCTAACGTCTTTGGAATTCGTCGTCATTCGAATCCCCAGCTTTCCCCGGTTAAAGCGATTGTTATCGGTTATCTCTTTCGCCCTACTTATCATCGGGGCCATATCCTCAACAAGTCTATTTGAAGGACGCCAAAATTTACGAAGGCGAGACTTTGCACAATTTCCGCTCAGGATCCGCTAAAACTCTCGCTTTTTCTGGGTCTCAATTAGCTGATGTGATGTGATGTGATGACGTGGGTTGGAACAATAAAGCTACTGCCTTATATTACATGAAATTGGCAGACGTTCTCCGTGGAGGCTCTCCTTCAGATTTATTATCTTCGACCGAATCAGCCACTTCCATTTCCACCACACTGTATGAGGATCTTAACCGTTTAAAAACTTTTGTCTCTGCGTTACCTGAGTCTTAATTTCTGTTAAATTGGTTTTTAGTATGGGGTTGGTCTCTTTTTGAGCTTGGGCATGTTTTTCTTCCATAGTGTTTTAGGGTTATCTTCAACTAGAAACTCTTGGTGCCCACTCTCAACAATAGGTGTGAGGGAGACTTATGAGAATATATAACTACTTAAGGTGGTCCGATAGATGTCTTTAGCGTTGATATCAAGTTTATAGAAAACGAGTGGAACTTTGAGAAATGGAGAAATGGTACTTTTAAGTTCTACCACTGAAGCCTTGAACTTGAGATTTCAATCGCGTGATAGTTGACGAGGGCACAGCTCGAGTCAGCCATCACTCATAGGAATCAAGAGTGAATAATCTAATTGTTTCAGTGCAAACCTACCACTCGTTCAAAACTTTATCTAACTCCTCTTGACAGCCGGATTTCGAAAACGCAAAGAAGCGGCCGCTAGGAAGAAGTAGTTACAGAGGAGGCTCGACTGATGGTTTTGTTTTCGCTGATGCTACCGCCATGGTAACTTAAGCTCACTTACACTAGTTATCCTAAAGTAAATTCCTCGTCGTTTTAAGGGTTGTGAATAAGCTTCTGAATAAAAATGAGAAGCATCACTTTACAGGGATAGTGTAAGGTGCAGATTGTAAACAGGGCTTAGTTTGGTGAACTTAAATTTGAAGAGCAAATTAGCAGACTTCATCGTAATGTGGGGAAGGCAAATTGAAACGATATATACATTGGCCTGTCAAAGGTTCAAAAAGAAATTTATTAAACTTTGTCTAGCTTTAATCTATAGTTTCACAAGGCGTTTAAAGAAGACAAAGTCCTTCAGTTTAGAACAAATGTAATTTTTTCTAGATTTACTGGTATAAACTGCTAACAAGATAAAAAATTAACATTAGAATTTGAGAAAAGTTCTGTCATTCAGTTCTTGAAAACTGAAGATATTACATGCACATGTATAGTGCTAAAGCTACGTAGCTTATTACTGATAACAGCCTCCAATGTCTCTAGAATGTCTCAACCTTTATAAAAATATTATGTAACGAATGTATCTTATTTTCTGTATTTCACACGGACCTCCTCACACGGTCAGTAGCGGAATCTTTGAAAATCTGTCATTGCGAGTTTAAAGCTAAATTAGTTTTCGCTTGAGTGTCGAAAAGTAATAGGTTTCACCACGCTACTTGCACTATGGGCTTAAAAAAACTTGGGCCAATTTCTCATCAAATCAGAATCGAAGTAAAACCAAATTAATAGTGACTCGCTCAGACGCGTTTTCCCGTGCTTCGCGTCAGCTACATGTTTTTACTTCGAGTTTTAATTGGTTGATTCGATTCTCTGTGTCTCTTGTGACTGAACAGGGTGATTCCTTTGGTTTTGGTTTCATGACACCCAATTGAAAACCGCTCTAAATTTGTACAAATTTAATTCAGGCTTTCAATATTAACTACTAAAGGTTTAAATAAAAAACAAACAGTGCTAAGCAAGGAAGGAGATTCATAAGCGGCTTGGCTGAAAGATCGAGACAGGAGAGGGAACTAGTCTTCCTTTCTTTTCAGCTCCTACCCGACCTTTACGTTTTTGCTCGCTTCATTCCCTCCCTGCTTTGCTCGCAATTTTTTTCCTTCATTAGCAATTCATGCATTGAACCATGCGCAACTTACTTACAAGAAAATTCTCGTATATTTTGATGTGTAAATGTGATATTTAAAGTGAGTAAAAATATCATTCTCACTCTTATTCCAAATTCTCCCGCTTTACTCGCAGATAACAAAGAACAGCAGTATTGGCAATTTTTGCTAAATTTTCCCACTCACCCAAATAAACAGGATACAGCTCTCCTGGTGGGATTCTCATGCCACTGTCAACTGGAAATTTGTTTATTATAAAGTAAACCTTCCCTTCTATTTCCACTGCATTACGGTTGTTTGGGGGAATGTGTTTTTGTTCTATAACTGACCAAGCGTTTTTTACCTCATCATAAACTTCTACAGGTCCAGGGTTCCCCTGTAGGCTTCCATTTGACGTAATAGAGTCATAACCCCCAGCTACATAAAGTCTACTGTTTACAACAAGAAGACTGGATCCAAAGTGATGCTGACATGTTGTTGCTTTTACTTTCCATTCGTTTTTTTCTGGATCAAAGCAGTGTAGCACTGCTTTCTGTATTGACCACGATTGCATTGAAAAGAATAATCGTCCATAAAGGACATACAGCTTTGAGTGAAGTACTACTACTCCGCTACAATAAAACCTGTCATTACATGGAATACTTACATAAGCAAAAGTTTGCCAGCGACACTTAGAAAAGCTATACCTTTGAGGGACCTGATTATAGTCAGAACTAATTGCATACATGTAATCGTCTACAATACATAAATTGTTTATTTTACCGCATGGGTTTGACAGCTTCTCCCACACATTACCTTCTGTATCATAACGATATAAAAGGTAACACCTTGCAATTCCAGCAACATACAAGTCATTACCAGCAGACGCTGCACAGTAACAGTTCGCTGCATCAATTGCCGGTGTTGTGGATGCCAAAGGTTTCCACTTTTTCGCTTCAACATCAAAATACACCATTTGAGCCTGCGGTAGAACTGCAAGAAGAACCTGAAATGACAGTAAAGGAAAACGAAATTTCAATAATACAACGAAATGCCAATGACTTGGCCGAAAACACCCGAGTCAAGGCAAAAAATGCTGGAACAAAAATGTTGCGTGATCAGCCAAATATACAAGAAAACCAAGAAACACTCGGAAAGCGAGCAACAAAGAAGAAAATAAAAAATCTTGCATGACCTGAAGCTGAAAAAAATTTACTCGCTAAAAAATATTAGCCGACACCCCCTCGTCCTCCTTCCCCCAAATTAAAATGGTCCTTCCCTAACAAATTCCAAGGACTGGGATTGCGTGAACAAATTAAGTCACGTAAAATATGAAATTATGTCAAATTCAAATGTCAGGCAAACGTACTTAATACGAGCATTCGACTAACTTTTTAAAATCAACTTTGCAAAATCTATAAGTTTTATAGATTAAGATAAATCAATAATTTTTGGTGTCATAGGCTTCGTTGGCATTGCGAAGCGAAGTCCAAAAAACACTCTTACCGGGCTAGTTTCTCGTGTTTTTGTTTTCTCCACAGCAAACTTGGGATTACGAGAAGGCCTGCAGCTATGGATTAATGCCTCGTGGAAGTGCATGTGAATCTCTGGATCCCGTTGCATTTCCTCTGTGTCCAGTTCATCAATCACAACCCCAATATCCACCAGCCCCAGACGAACAGCTCCGATAACTTACCTACCTGACGCCATCAATCTTTTTCCTTCCTGCAGCAATTCATGCATTGAACCATGCGCAACTTAATTAAAAGAAAATTCTAGTACGTTTTGATGTTTAAATGTGATATTTAAAGTGAGTAAAAAAATCATTCTCACTCTGGTTTCAAACTCTCCCGCTTTACTGGCAGATAACACAGACCAGCAGTTGAGGCAATTTTTGCTAAATTTTCCCACTCACCCAAGTGAACAGGATACAGCTCTCCTGATGGAATTCTTATGCCACTGTCAAGTGGAAATTTGTTTATTACAAAGTAAACCTTCCCTTCTATTTCCACTGCATTACGGTTGTTTGGGGGAATGTGGTTTTGTTCCACAACAGACCAAGTGTTGTTTTCCCTATCATAAACCTCTACAAGTGCGAGGTTACCCTGTAGGGTACCATTTGGTGTGATAGAGTCATACCCCCCTGCAACATAGATTCTACTGTTTACTACAAAAAGACTGGATCCAAAGTGAGGTTTACAGGTTGTTGCCTTTACTTCCCATTCGTTCTTTGCTGGATCAAAGCAGTGTAGCTCTGCATTCTGCATTGACCAGTAGCCACCTGAATTTACAAAACGTCCATAAAGGACATACAGCTTTGAGTAAAATACTGCTGCTCCGCTACAGGAAAACCGGTAACCACTTTGAATACTTACTTTAGCAAAAGGTTGCCACTGCCATTTAGCAAAGCTATACCTTTGAGGAAATTGATTACAGTTTGAGCTAACTGCATACATGTAATCGTCTACAATACATAAATTGCTGATTTCAACGCATGAGTGTGGTAGCTTCTCCCACACATTACTTTCTGTATCATAACGATAAATGTAATGATCACCGACCGGTGCCATTCCAGCAACATACAAGTTATTACCAGCAGATGCTGCACAGTAACAGTACACTGCCTCAATTACTGGTGTTGTGGACGCCAAAGGTTTCCATGTTTTGGCCTCAACATCAAAATACTGCATTTGAGCCAGAGGTAGAACAGCAATCAGAACCTGAAATGACAGTAAAGGAAAAAGAAATTTCGATAATACAAAGAAATGGCAATGAGTTGTCTGAAAACACCCGAGTCAAGGCAAAAAATACTGGAACAAAAATGCTGCATGACCAAACAAATATACACCATTTAACAAATTGACATCAGTTTTTATGCGTCTGTCCTCTTATTGATGATAAATTGCATCATAACATTGTCAAAGTGGCTGTGGAACCACGAGCCGAAGTAAACTTTGACAATGTTATGACGAAATTTATTTATTTTTTTATTTTTTTATTTTTTTATTTATACACGGGTAAAACATCAGGACTTCAAGTAAATTCTAAAATTGCATTAACTACAAGAGGACAGACACATAAAAAACTGACGTCAATTTGTTTTTTACAATAACAAGACCCCAAAATGGTCAAATGCCGGGAATAAATGAGGGCAAAAGACCCCGTAAACCTGCCGTAAACAGATATAAGTGAATTGTATTTCAAAGTGACGCGAACATTGTCAATAGCTTTTCTCACTTTTTGATTGGCTACTAAAAAAGGCCATAAAATCTCATTGGTTAAAAAGTTGACAGTCTGACAGCTGAAAGTTGAACTTTAAAGCTTGCATAAATTGAAATTTTATCCTTGATACTCTTATTGATGATAAAAATGAGCCAATCAGTGCGCGAGCAATTAGACAGTTATTGTAAAATACATTTTCGACATTTGGAGAGGGCCACGCAATTACCAAAAAGATTTCCCCTAAAAGAAAATCCGAAAAGGAAACACTCGGAAAGCGAGCAACGAAAAAGAAAATATATGGAGTAAATAAAAATTCCTGCACGACCTGACGCTGAAAAAAACATTCTCGATACGAAAAAATTCCTCCTCATCCCCTCGCCCTCCCTCTCTCAAATTGAAATGGTCCTTCCCTACCAAATGTGCGTACAGCATTTTCTGGGACTGGGATTGCGTGAAAATATCAAGTGATTACTCTGACGTGAAATATGAAACTAGTAGTAGTCAAAGATTAGAGCAGTGCGTTCACGTACATAGTTTTCATGTTAGGTCTACCTTGGTGGCCATCGAAACTTTACGTTTGATCTAATGACAGATAACGATCGGCACGTGAAGTTGAAGCCTGCGGTAAGAGTGTTTTAAATTAATAAAATATTAACTTGTACTGGACAAAATATTTTCCAGGAAAGGCATTTGCACTGTTGGTGACACTTGGAATTCGCCAAGACTTGTAACAGATATTTCTTGAGGAAATAAAGTAACCATTCTGACCACAAAACACGGCCTACTGCCGAGGCACACAACACGGAAGGTTTGTTTTCCGACAACCAATTAAGGCCACAACGAATTTGCAGAGCTACAAATCGGAAAATGTATTTTCTGATCACAGATCTGTGGGTCGTCATGGCCATCTGCGAAGCTACACGGAAGATTTGTTTTCTTACCACAACTCATGGCCATTTGCCATCGCCGAGCTACAAAACATTCTTCCTGATAAAGCAGGCTTTAGTTACTTATTGTCGAAGGCTAGCGGGTCAAAATACATGCAGCTTTGCAGAAATCATACACACTTCGAATCTACACGCCAAATACGTGACTGCGTGCATGGGCTAGGCTTTTGTACATTATGCTTTTATTTTCCCACTAAAATGCTCAACGTTATTGCTCTATTTTCCCCACAAAAATGCTCCGTCTCCCCCCAAAAAGTCACTAAAATGCTCGGTTACTGCTCATACATATGGTTTCTCACAAAGGTGAGTAAACAAACATGGCTGCCTTTAATTTGATTTGACTACCGCTGACCTCTCCTCAGTTTCCACTCAGCTGTATTGGGGGCATTTGAAATTTTCCTCAGTCTCCACTCGGCTGTATTAAGGTGGCATTTGAATTTTTTTCAATTTCGAGTTTAAGTCTTCATTTTCTCCTAAATAAAAGATTTTATTTCAGTCTGTTGTCTTTGGAAAAAAATAATTTTCCGAGAAAATGCGACTAAAATGCTCGAAAAAATCCTAGCATAATGTACAAAAGCCTAGCAATGCGCTCATGATGTAATTTGCCCCTGCTGTGGGGGAGGGGGCGGGGCAAATCGGCGAACAAATCCGCAAGAAAAATCGATTAAGATTGCGTTACACTACGTGAACACAATTATGTCAAATATAAATGTCACGCAACCGTAGTTATTAAAATCTATAACTTTTATAGATCGTGATAAATAAGTAATTTTTTGTATCATAGAATCGAATACGTGACTTAGTTGGCATTGCGAAGTGAAGTCCACAAACCCTTACCGGGCTGGTTGCTCGTGTTTTTGTTTTCTCCACAGCAAACTTGGGATTTCGAGAAGGCATGTGACTATAGATTAATGTTTCATCTAAATGCTTGTGAATCTCAGGAACTCGTTCCATCTCCTCTGTGTCCAGTTCTTCAATCACAACCCTGATATCTACCAGCCCCAGACGAACAGCTCCGATAACTTTGGCTGCGACTGCCATCCTCTCTTCCTTCTTGTGTTTAATCCACTGCATCACTGATTTGAAGACGAACGTCTCCGAAGGTGTGCTGAGGTCATCGCGGCTAAGGAGGCTAAATAATTGGTCTCCACCAACATTAGAAAGGAATTCTTCGCTTTCACAGACATCCACGTACATCGAAGCCATCTTCTTCTCCGCTGCCTCTTGCAGATCTCCCAGACCATGTCTATCGGCCACCGTGGAAAGCAGACAGTAGTTGTGAAGGTCAAGTCGGAGCTGAATAAATTCCCTCTTTAAGAAATCACAGCACTGTTGAACAACAGTTGTGACTTGAAGATGATCAGCTGCGGCAAGAACTTCAAACACGTTTTCCTCATTGACGCAAAGATCTCCAGTGTAGATGGAGTCCATTACAATCTTGAAAGCATGAGGTGAAATACTTTCATCTTTCAGTTCGATGACTTTCTGGTTTGACTCCTTCATTCCATCAGTAAACATGGCGTGGAAATAATCGCTATTCGCAGCGAGTACAATGCGATGAGCTGGAAAGATGTCTTCACGCACTTTTAAA